GGTAGGATTTTGAGAAGCTGGTAACTCACTGCCCTTTTTGGCGGTGAAGGAGGCAGGTCCGGAGTTGCACAGAACTGCAGCAGTTCAGCATAGTTCAGTCCTTTTTAGAATGAGACTTACTCGACTGATATGATTTTGCAGGGATGTTGCACAACAACGAATCATCCCTCCTGCTTCTACTCAGACGCTATGTGTACCAAGAGCAACTTCATGCCTGGAGTTTTCAAGCTCGCAGCACGAAAGCATACGGCTGACATGTTTATTTTTCCAACTTCCACTTCCACGTCCCGGTTAAAGACTTCTAAGGATCGTGTCGCCCGAGCTTGCGAGCCGCTGCGCGCAGTATGTCAGGAGCTCGGGGGTGTAGTGTATTTGTACTCTGTGCCAATTCCCTGGGTACTCCTTAGCAGACTTACCGTCTTTTGCAGTATTCCAAAACAGTCGCCTGGCCACCTTGCACTGTTGATTCCATTCCTTTCGTTCCTGGAAGAGGGTGCAAACGAGACGCCTGCAAGGTCAAGGCAAAAGAAGGACCTCCGACCCTAGTATTCGCAGAGCACACTCACTGGGATGGCAAGCCAACGCTGACGATTCAATCATGCTGCTGCCGCAAAGTTCTCACTAAAGAGGTGGGGCGGGGAGGCTCCGCCCCGGCCATCACCGGGTCAGCGTGCATCTCCAACCTTGACTTGCGAGGTCTTGTCCACGGCCTTCGATGCCGACTACATCACGCGGGTATCTGTTTTTGGCATTGACAAGCTCATCCTGCAGCTTACAGAAACTGGGCACAACTTAGTACCGCGAACCCAAATAAATAAGCTAACCTTGGGAGATCAGCATCATTCGGATTACTGGCAGATATGTCTATCGATGCAATTCTTGCGTGTCCGCTTTCATGCCGTGAAGATGACATTCATGTGCGTTGTTTTCCCAAGAGTGTCATCCTTCGAAGTAACCGGTGGCAAAGGACAATGAAGATGAGCATTTCAGATTCTCAGGCAGTGACAAAGCAAAGCGCCTCTCCCCAAAACGTATCAACGTGTTTTTTGATATGTTTTTTCCGTACTTTGCCAATCCTAAAAGCCAAGGCTCCCCCCTTCCAAGTGCATAAAGGATGTACAACTGTTAATGTCACAGGCGTGCGAACCAAAGGGCCCTCACTTCCCAGGAGCGGAGCGCTGCGAACATGGCCAAGCAGTGGCTCTTTCAGAAGCTGGGCCGAGGAGCCAGCAACCCGGCACAAAGTCTGTCTGTCTTCAATCCCTCCCTCCCTCCGCACTTCATGCTGGCAATGCTGCACGCAGGTTAGATGTAGGCCAGCCGTGCGCAAGCTGCATGAGTTGTTCACGGCTCAAAGTTGCAATAAGTTCAGACCAGATATGTTCTATAAGTGTTATCATGCCGAATCCTAGAAAGGAATGGTATCCCAAAGTGGAACTAGATGAGCCAGGTGAGGGCACTGCAACAAGCCCCCGCCTCCGGGCCTTTGGAGCCGAATCTCAGGTGCCTGAGGCAAGGGCAAGCCGTACTTTTTGCTTCGGGGTCCAAACCTGAACGCCTCAGAAGTACAGCGGTTATAAGTTGTAATTTCGATCATCCCACTTGTTTATGTTGGGATTGTTAATGGTAAGCGTGCTGATTGCAATGTTTACGATTGCAGCTGCTACGATTTAATTACAACATATTATGCTGGTGCCAGCAGCTGATACAAAAAGTGTTTGCAAACAGTCTCCGTGACTTACCACTTTCAAGATGATGACGCTATCTGATGATCGTGGTGAAGACTTTCTTTTAACCAGCTTCAGGCTCTGTGGCTTTGCGGTGTTGCATGGACGTAGTCTATAGGGCTTGAAGAAGTTTGTAGAGTGGTCATTTCTGCTAACGCCGAGGATGCGGGCTTTGAAGCAAGATCTGCGAAGTCGGGAAGTGGAGGTCTTGTCCAGATTTGAGGGCATAAGCATAGGGCTCGGGCTGAGGCTCATGAGTCGGCAGGGCCAGTAGAAGTGGCTTCTAATAACAAGCTAATAGAACTAGGGACATTCCTTTTACCTTCTTGGAAGGTCCTCTGTACTCCAGGGAAGCTGCTTCACATGGACTGCCGGGGAGTTGGCATGTCTTCTTCACCGACACGACTCTTCTGGCACCCTGTCTGCCTTATGTGCGCCCATGAGCTTCAGGGATTGGAAGTGTTGTTTCTACGCACTTTGCGTCATCATGCTGCATTCCGTCAGTTTTGGGCACCCTAAATTCTGCAAATTGAAAACCAAGATTATGGAATGATGTCTAAAGTCATCAGCGAATAATCCTGTGTCCCCCGACGTATTCCCGAAAGCTTACAGCCAGCAAGATGTAAAGCAGACAGCTGCTCCGTGCTGCACCAAGGTCTTTGCCAAGTTTCTACCACGCCGCTTTTTCCAACTGGGACTGACTGTGCTGTAAGGTTTGGGCAGTGGCCGGGGCTCAAGCCTGTAGGAATGCGTGAAGGCTTCTGGCTTGGCATCAAGTCCAAGCTGAATCTCAGGAGTTATACATCAGCGGCCACATGTTCCATGACCACCTGCCCATCCGCTATGTGGAGGGGCTACTTGAGGTGCTACGTCACGGCCTTACATGCCAAAAGCACACCAGGGTGGACTTGCAGTCAAGGTGGCGAGTGAGGTAGAATTCCGCCCATGCTGGTGTCTAGTTCAGCTGAACTTGGAAGCTAGCTCAACCAAGGCCGCGCCATTCCAGGAACAGCCCAGGGCCTATGCCTGAAGGATGCTTAAGCTGCTGGAAATGTCCATCATGTCTCCCGAGGATAAGAGATATTTTCACAAAGACAAAAAACTGTTGACAGGTACTGGGTCATGTTCTATCTGGGATCTGGCAGTCCTTCACACAAGCTACCATTACGAAGTTCCTGTGAAAAGAAAGATCCTCAGCCCCCTTCCGGGCGTGTTGAAGAAAAAGGTTGTCACGTGGATCATCCCTTCGCAGGCATCACACGAGATGATTCCCAAATCCGTAGCATACTTTCACTTGTTCTTCTTGCTGAGGTGGTCCTATCGAAATTCCCAACAAGGGGGCAGGTACGAGCAGTCCATATACAAGGAAGCACCATTTGCTTGGGTATGCCTTCCCCTGTGTGCAGGATAATTCATAGAGAGCTGTTGGAAACTCTTATAAGGCTTGCTGATCTGGACAGAAGGCTTGTGTAGTCCTTGTACGTTCGCTAGCCTGCTCCCTAAACCTAAGCCCTAGACCCTCAAACACAACATCAACCTGGAGGCATTCCGCACCTCCAATCCCACCCCAAGCCTCCAACACTGACATTTTAGACCGTTCCACACCGAAGTCTGGATCTTGAGTTACACCTGGGCGTGAGGATAGGGCCGAGGAGCCTGATGCCCAGGAGACTGTCCGGAGCAGCCTCGAGGCCTTTCGCTCTCGCTTTGGGGCTTATGTTCAAGTTACCCTTTGTAACCTGGAAGGGTTGTGTGGTGAGAGTGCAGGGATTACACGATTCAGGTTTCGTTTTGGAATCCCTGGGGGGCGGTGGCAAGTTCCTGAAAAAACGACAACTTACAGGGCTTTGGCCTTTTATGGCGGGAAAGGTCTCACTGCAGTCCCTGGCTTGGGACATCACCCATTGAATCCATTGGCAGCAATGATCCTTGAGTTCTTGTGGGACTTGACAGAATTGGATGGGATATGAAGGCGTGAGCATGTCTGAACAAACCAACGCAGCATTCCTAACTGCAGCTTCAGGATCAGGGGCCAGGAAAAATCGACAATGCAGCTCGTGCTGCTAGGGATGCAGCATGTCATGAGCAAATGCATGCAGACCCATAGTGTGTCATGCATGGCTTTACGGTAGAGAGTCTTTTCTTTGGGGCTGTAGTGTGCAGGCTCTCAGTCATGTGCTAGGACCTGCTAGGACAAGAGCTGCCCGAAAGTGGTACTCGTGGTGACCGCACTCTAGATCAGAGTATATTAGGCGCACAAGTGTGGAGAGTGGCATATCCAAGGTCAAGGTGAGGAAGTTTTGGACTACTCAGAGCAAAAAAAGAAGGACCTCAGCTGTTGATTGCCGTGCAGCCGAAGAGCTTACACAGACACTGGCGGCAGTCCCAAAGAGAGAGATATGGTCCCGCAAACCTGTGGCCTACCTTGCGGCCAGGTGATCATCGCGAACTGGTCTGCTGGGCTCGGCACAACCCTGTAGGGTTAAAGGATGCTGGGTGCTCCTTGAAGGTGATGGGCAGACTGGATTCAGTTTGAGTAGGGAGTTCCCAAGCTCAAGGGTGGCGGGTTCTTGCTTTGGGTTTCCAGCAGCTAGAGTCTACTGTGGATCGCCATGTTGGCAGAAGCTTGCCAGTTGCCTCCATGGAGCAGCACATGCCGCACAACGGCCAGCCAGCTGGGTTGTGCGTCAATTCATGGCTCCCATTCACGAACTAAGAGGAAGCCTAACCAGACAGACTCGATGCGGGAACCTGGATTCTGACACCAACCTTCGTTAATGCTTGAATTGCCAAGGCGCCGGTAAAATCTGGCAGCATGGCATTTAACTACCCTCCTTCCGGAAACTGTAGCATATCGGGTGAGGATGAACCTCTTGCTCTTAGAGTCTCCTGCGATTGCCCAAGCTTGCAAGCAGCTGATGCCGCTCTGATCGCGGAGAGTTGGACCTAAACTTGGCTGACGTTCTCCCTTCAGATGCGGCTGTCGTTTTCCCAGAGGCTTGCGGCTGGGACAAGGATGTTGAAACAAGCGCCTTCAGACAGAATCTGGAAACGTTTCCAGTAAGTAGGGGTCTGTGTTGCAATGGGTGTGGGTCACTGCCTTCACTGGCTGTCTTGCAAGGCAGCAGAAGTCGCAGGGCGTGCAGTGGCTGGTGTTCTGCTTCTGCGTGCTAGCACAAGCGAACGCAAAAAGTGACATGGGCAGAGTTCTGCAGTGACATTGTGCGCATCATCACCTTTTACAGCTTCAGGAAGTGCGTGCATTGATTGCAGGACATGGCCGAGCCAGAGCACACAGCACTACTGCTGAAGTGCTACACCAAGCTTAAAGATTTCACAACACTGGAGGACGGGGCCTTTTCAACTCTACACCGGCATTTTAGCACCTTCAGAGTGAGCACACGCAGGGCTGCTTGCCTTTGGATTGGCCCCTGGTTTAAATCGCACACCCATAGCCAAGAGTGCGCCAGGAGTTTCTCAAAACCACTCCGCCATCTCAGTATGATCATGCCACGGCCATCGAGGCAAGACCCATTGTGCCGAACAGGCAATAGCCCGAACCGGGGAGTTAGCCATGCGTCGTAAATATTTCTTCTTCATTTGCTGAGATGAAGTAGGAACCACCTCGGAAAGCCGAAAAGAGATGCAATGATGTGCCGGGAGGTGTTGGAGTCAGCTTCTTACCATGGGCTGGCCGCGGAAGTGGCGCAGAAGGCAACTTTCGAGCTGTGGTGATTCTGTCCCGGACACTGCAATAGAGCATTCCTGACAGGCACCTTTTTGACCACTTGCCTTTTTTTCCAAGGGGCGCATGTGCAAGGCATGTTGGACAAGCCAGTCCTTCCATGACAATACCGCTTTTGACATAATGCTCAGCATGAGTACGGCTCGTACACAGTATCCGGATACACGCAAAGCAGCTCTCCCCAAATTTCAGCTTGGCCTTCTTGAGTGAAACATCGAGTGCTACAGACAAGGTCCTTTCCAGCACCAAGCACCGAGCAAGCCACACCAGCTGGCACATTATGCTAAGTGTTCCAAACTCTTCCAGATGCAGCATCTTCTAAGAGGCTCTACTGGGGGGCAAGCATCTTGGTTCGTTCTACTTGGTTGCACCATTAATTTCTTTCGTAATTGCCAGGTAGGCAGCCACGACGACTTCGTTCGGATCTCGCTGGAGCAGCCTCACCCTCAGCATGTGGATCTCTTCTCTGCGACGTGGTCTGGATCTGGACTGAGGTTCAAGAACTACAGCACCACAGTGGAGTTCTTACGCTCCTTGCCGCGTGTGGAGGAGAAATACATTGCATTCATTGTCTCACTTCATGTCACCTCTTTAGCAAGTCCTGAAGCCGTTGACCTGTAGCCAGGCAGGACGGATTCTGCTGAACTATGGCCGTAAGCTGATGCGCCACGCGCCGAAGGAGCAGATGATTTCTTGCGAGTTCGTAGCAGATAAGAGACTAAGAAGCTCGCAGTAAGAGGAGTATGAGAGGCCGGATTCCTTGTCGAAGAAGATTTTCGTCCTGCCATGTTTGGCGTTGTGGATTTGGCATGTAGATGAATGATCATCCGCTAGGCTTCGGGCTATGGGTGATGCTTGCAGCACCAGCTACAGGGTTTACAAGGCTGCAATCCACTTCAAGCAAGACTCCGTCTAGCAGATCTGATCACTAACAGGAGAAGCTTCCCCCTACCAGCAGCCCAGGAGACCGTAAAGCTGATTCGACATGTTTGTGACCTCCGGTATCCCATGGATGGCCAGGCCTGCAGGCATGATGTATCCATTCTGACTCCTAGAGATAACATTGAGAGAAAGATAGACCACGAATGAAGCTGGACCTTCCCGCTCAGCATTCGAACTTCCGGCCGGTCAGGGTTGAGCGCATGTTTCATGGTCATCTGGCCGTGGGTTGCAGGTGCCACGATCCAGGGTTCTAGGGCTGACAGGTGGGATTCGGAGCAAGATGTTGTTGAACAGTGTGTACTGAGCTATGGTGCAATTGCTTCTCGTTGATCTTCGCATCTCGCTATCATATGTTAGCCACATGATTAAAAGGATGAGGGGGTTTCTGTGTGGCTGCTTGGGTTTCGGATCCTTTCCGAGCAAAAAGTGTCACAACAGCTTCCGGCGAAAGATACAACAATGGCGGTAGTCGTGTGGGAACTGTCCATCCGCTGCATGACACCACCATGCAGGCCTTGCAGCATCCTGCAGACGATCAAGGCTCGAAGTCAGCATCGGCAAATCTGCTCGAAAAGCGGGACTGTCTTTAAAGAAGCCCTATACGATCCTCAGCAATGAGAGGCACATGATCAGATTGGTATTGCCCACATACACCTGAAAACCCGCATTCTGAGAAACCCCCAAGGGGCAGATCGCCGCAAGGGGACGCGGTTTCCCTACCTTGCGAACGCGTTTGGTTCCTTTTTGTCCTTTCCAAGGAAAGCGGCCCGCTGCATTGCTTGGATCAGTTGCAATACATTTGACTGGCGTTCTTGCCGGGTGAACACGACCGCTCAGAAGGCTCAGAACATAGTTGAACTTGCAGCACAGAGCCGCATACTGTCAACACCACAGTTCGCAACGTGAAGCCCCGTACAAAGCAAGAAATCATGATAAATCTTCACCCGTCAGGTCCAACAGTTGATGAGCTTCTGCCAGTGTTTGCTGCTCGCCTGCAAGCGCTGACGATGTCAAAGGAGGGCAGGGCTGACAGACTTTGAAAGTTCAGGACTTCAATGTTACGGATTTGAGTGATTTTAAGAGTCCGGGTCACGGGAATTACCAGAACAGAGATGCTGCACCTGTATGCCGCCGAAATGTGAGAGCATTTTTCAGCTCACCGCCTCACAGTGGACATGGGCGAAAATCATGATATGTTTGCCTCTTGTGACTAACAACACCTCCAGCCTGACCGAGAGCGCTAAGAACCTGAAAGCCATGCTCAGGTGGATGACCTGCAGCAGCTGGAGGTCCCGGACTCTTGCTGAAGTTCTTGCTAACGTGTTCCGGCGATCGGAAACCAGCTTTTTTGGTTCTGCGTTTAGCTTAGGGCTTGTCAGGGAAGTTGCACCCCTGGATCAGATCTTCCTACGGTCCGTCCTGCTGGATGATGGCTGCCAACTACCACAAGCCCAGGCACAGGGAAGCATGGTTGTGGTGACCTACCTACGACCTAAAATTCAATGCCAAATGGACCGCTCAGCATTCAACTCCTGGGCTTACGCAGTCTCACCTTGCTGTCTTTCTGAGCGCACGCTCCTGCACACATTCTCAACTGGTTTCAAGCTACTGCGGTGCAGGGAGGAGGATCTCGTGTGGAAGCACCCTTGCCTGGAATTGGAATCAGGCAGAGCGATTGTTTCCCACGCTCTTGGAGTTGTTGGCTGCTCACCTGCAAGTTTTGGGCGTGTCCTGCCTGTTAGTGGAGCGCTAGGACATGCAAAGGCAGACTGCCACCAGCAGTCCCCCGAAACCTTCGAGTTTCTTGCCTCAGCCCCCCAATGCTGGATGAACGCAAAAGCTTTTCCCAAAATGTCATCAAGCCAGGGCCATGGTCATTGAGTATGCTTAGTAATGGCGATGGCTGATGCCATTGTCATGCTACGACTGCGGTGGCAAGAAGTGATCCCAGGTGAAGTCTCACAGCTCATTAGTGGCGGTGGGCGGAGACGGCCCTGGCGAGAACAAAGAGGCCGTGGTATAGACTGCCTCTTTCAAAGACCTCAAATACATGCCGACACACACCTCAAGGAGGGAGAAGGGACAGGTCTCCATGAGCTCAATTTATACGCTTGGGCATTTGTGAAAGTCTGACTTAGGGGATCCTATCATGGTTTCGTGCACATGACAGACATTTTTCTAGGCGTATCGTGCCACAGTCAGCGCTTATGTGCATGCTAGTGCAAGGTTTTTCTCACTTGGGCAAACTGCTCTGCGGGCTCCGGGGGGAGGGGGGGGGGGGGGGCGTGTCATCGATTCGTCCAAACTAAATCACATCAGGCTAGACATCCCTCCACAGACATGGTATCTCAACTATGCGGGCTTGAATCTGAGAATGTCTGTTTAAACAGTAGCTGTGAATCGTACCCCACAAGGCAGCCAGCCGTGTGTCTGCGGACATTATGCGGTTGATCCGACAGCCTCTTGGTTCTTTGCTGATCGTGCAAGCAAATGGCTCGTCTTCTGTTTTGTGTTCAAGCGTTGGGGAGTGTGCAGACTTCCAATTTCAGGGTCTCAGTCCCTCGGCTAACGTGCAAGTTTGCTGGCCACACCCCAGCTAGAGTTCTGCTGGGTGGTTTTGTGCTGCCTAGGTATCCTAGCGATGCTGCTTTGGCCAACACGCTGATGGTTTGCCAGCGGGGCTCTCAGTTACCTCTGAAGATTTCAACTTTCAATTCTAAATCTAGCAAAGCTATGGTGAGCAAGGAAGCCTCCACGACGCTATACACAGAATTTCACAAAATTATTGATTTTCCTGTAGAGGGCACACAGGCATGCCTGAGCCCGTGTAAGGGACCCGCCACCCGTAGGCGGAAGGCCCCTCTGATTGCGTTTGTTCTCGCAGGGTTTTTGGTTTTGTGGACGGCTTCTTCTACGCGGCGGAGAAACTGCAACGGCACCAGTTGCTGATGCAGTGGTGCTTTGAGCACAAGGAGTGCTTTGCCAGCCAGCTCAGACAATGCCATGGGTTGCGAGTTGAACCTGCGCTGACAAATGCCACTTTTGTGCAATGTTGCAGCTGTCGTTTCCTTTCTGTTCCTTGTGCCAGACTGGCTCTTTCTGTGTTTTTGGGAACATCCATGAGTGCCTTGCCAGGATGCGAAGCGCCTTCTTGAGATCTGCAAACGTTGCGGCCCTGCAGACCAGAGTCTCTGGGTGCAGGTTCCTTGGGCGTTAGGCTGTGAGATGCTTCAAGAGCTTCGAGAGGGTGAGTAGGGAGGGCAGTGTGAATGTTTGGCATCCTGGCTGCGAGGAAAGGGGCAGCAGCAAAGGTACAGTACAGGTCACATTTAAGTCACCTGCCCTCCTTAATGTGCATGAATTTACAGGCTTGATCCAAATGTTGTGTGCGATGTTTCAATGCATGGGACAACTTCCAAGCTTGACTGCACCACCGATTTTCAGGGGATGCTTGCGTTTCTGAATTGTCAATTTCAAAAAGAAGGAAGGCCAGGCTTCATAGTTGTAGGCACAGCGTGCCTCTGCCTGTCCTAGGTAGCACGCCGTTACGCAAGTGAATCTGTAGGGTGTGGCAAGTTCAGGGGAGTTTGGGATGTCTGCAAAGCAGCGGGCTTGCGGAGCTTGTTGAGATCTTGGCGAGGTTTTCTGATAACTTGCTACAAGCTTTCTCAGGAACAGACTGTGTTTTTCAGTATTCTACCATGCCTCGAGCCCAAATCTCTTTATCTCTCCAGTTTCCATTCTATGTTCCATTGTGATAGTCCATTCCCATGTGTCTGCATATGTATAAGTTCCACGGTAGTTTCCATCAAAACCACAAAATCTCCTCAGCTCGTTCCTCGCCGAGGCTTCTTAGAATATATCACTGAGTCACGGAGCCATGCATAAATTCTAGCCACAAGCTGTCATTATTCAACCTGAAATGTGGTAGAGTTTTATTGTAGGTTTTGGTGAGTGCATGTAGGATTCCGCAACCGTAGGCATGTTGGCGGGTGTCTATGGGCGGGGGGGGCCCTAAAATTGTCCTGCGTGAAACGCCCAACAGTAGATCTCCAAGGCTTCACAAATCTTCTCACTACTACCGATCTCTGCGTGAGTTCCACTTTGCCCTACAACCTCCTACTAACTGCAGGGTCAATGTTCAGTAATAAGCTGTGGTTCTCGATAGTAGTATCCGGATGAGGACCCAGGGAAAAGAGATGCAGGCCAGCAGTCTTGTTGATGAATCATCCCCGGAACGGTTTCATTGAAATTGGGGATATAGCTTTGCTTGGCCTCAGAACACTCGAATTGCATAATTACGTCCATGGTATTAGGGGCATGCAGGATGTTTAGCATCAACCATATAGTCAAGCTAAGTAGGCCTGCAGCTTGACACTGGAGCGCATTCCAGCTTGACCTGACGAACTCTCAACTCTCAACCCTGAGAGCCAGTCCCAAGAGACGTTTGTTCCCCTTTCCTGAACCCACAACCGGCGTCCCAAGAACCGACACCGTTAGACTCCAGAGCTTTGCAAAGGCACTCTCCTTCCTGGCCTCCCCAGAGAGTGGCGGCGGACACCTTGAGGAGATGGGTGAAGTGCTGCGGCACATCGAGGAGCGTTTGGGATTTGGGAGGAGACGATTGCTCTTTTTGGGGCGGGTTTACCACATGACACATACAAGAGACAGGCTCAGTAGGTAAATCCACAAACCACTGCGAGAAGGTGTGTCCTCTCATTGTATAAACGAGAAGAACTGGCCCACTTGCTGGGATGGGCAGATACCGCAGACCAGGACAGTGACCTCATGCCGCTGCTGCTCGTGATCGAGACCCTTCGCTCCAGCAACGAGGCCATCCGTTACAGTATCCTTTGTCGCTCTATGTGTTTCTTCGTGTCAGCTCTGTTTCCCTCTGCCCGGCAGGTGACGATTGGCGACGTGCGGCCGTACTTGCAGGCACGTGATTGAATGGTCCCTGTAGGATCCTGTAGACTCTTGTTTCATTTTGCTGGACCCTCAGTTCGAAGCTGTGAAGGTTTTTGCATCCAGGGCCCGAAAATGTTATCTTGAACAGCTACGGTCATTTCTTTAGTTCTTCAGTACTGTAGTATCTAGTTGGCGTTTGCCTATTTTCAGCTGCTATGGCGTGCATCCTCATTATCTCTGCATTCCTGGACTCCCCACGAAGCTCGGCTACTCGTAAAAAGGGCACCGCTTTTCCAGCTTGATCTGAAAACCCTGCGTCAGAGGCCCAGTACCGGCGGCTGGTCGAGTCGGCAGAGACGTCCCGGGCTAAATCTGTCCAGGACCGTGTGGTGTCTCTGTGCGGCGGAATACACAAAGTGGTCTGCTTGCGATGATGGGCCCTTCTCGGGAGGGAAGGGACAGCCTGGGTTGATAAACCGACTAAGCCGGAATCCAATCGCCCTTTGCGAGTTGCAGTGGTCCAGCGCACTGGGTTCTGCCAAATGCCCTGAGTGTAGGGAAAGGGGACCGCCCAAGCTGCCGTTGTTGTTTCAGAACGTGCCTGTCAGAAATAGAATGATGGAGTTCGGGCATAGCAACACGAAGTGGACCGCGGTCAAACCAGGCTTCAGAAAGGGCTTCTTCAGTCAGTAGGACTGAAGGCAGAGCTCAGATAGTACAATGAGCAGATCAGATGACAAACAGTCATAGTAGAGAGGAGGATGACAAGCGCCTTATCGCTCCGTATTGCTCCGTTGTGTGCAGCCGATGTCAGGACCGTCAGGAGATCGCCCGAATGCAGCAGGAGATTACGCAGCTCCGCACACAGGACAGGCAAGATTCAAAATGTTACAGTTACGGACTGTGGCTCGCCCCACAAGTCTTCGAGCTTTGGCAACACGCCGGGCCTCAATTGTTCTGTCCCGCACATGCAGAAGCCCCGACGCTGAAGCACACTTTGCCTTGATCATGGGTCTTCTGTACACTCAGTCTGAAGAACAGTTGGCATGCGTCTGGGAAGTTCTATGGATCACAGGGCTGCTTGCTGTCCTTAATGCCAGGCCAAGGAGTTCCAAAACACCCGCTGCTTTCAGACACTCAGATTCCAAGAAGTCATGGGAGTTCCCTGCTTGCCAATCCTTACACAGGGCAATGCCCGCTTTGGAGTGCAGAGAGCCCGCTTTTCAGCTTCCCCAGCTTGGTCATGTCCTCTAATGTTATCACAAGAGCACTTAGACTTCATCCCGGGGTACCTGGCAAAATATCGAATTTAGGAAGGGTTCGTAGCCCTCCTGGAACAGATCGTGTCTTGTCGAACTACTGGGCTCTTAGGGGACCTAGCCATGTATGACAGGAAGTACGGCATATGCTCTAAAGAGTCACAAATTGCTTATTGCAATGAGGGAGGGGATCTGAAAGCTTGGGATCCCTTGTCCTGCGGAAGTTGAAAGTGCGAGTTGGGGTAGGAGGTGGTGGAAAAATGTTCTTCTAATCGCTTTGGCTTGGTTGCTCTGAATGATTACCTTATAAACTTAGAACCATCAAAAGGGGAATTATTGAGACTATCACCCGTTTGCAGGGAACCCGAGCAAGGGGTCCATGCAGTTGGGGGATGGGAAATCCTCAGTCCAGCAGCCCGAGGTGTGGTTTGACGCTGGAAGTCCCTGCTGTACATTTCTTCTGTGGCCACTCGAGACTTGCTTTAAGTTGAGCCGGAGCTCTTCTTGAGTGCATGATCTGAAGGGTAGTGTGTAGAAAGCTAGAGCTCGAAGGTTTCACTTCAGTGGACCAGGCACATTGATGCCCGCTCGAATTGTTGCACGGATTTTGGCATGTATTTAAAGGCTTGTTTCATGACATGCAGACTCCTGTAAAAATGCTGTCTAGAATGTCTGTTCCAAGTCGCCCCTAAAATCTTCAACGTATTTCAAGCTGTCAGCAAGTAAGCTAAGCAATGCTGCTGAAGAAAACCATCCAAATGCATAAGACCTCAAACACACAATGTTCCTAAGCCGAAACCCATAGCTCTATCCGAAACACACGCTGCTCCCTTCCGAGTGCAAGGTACCACTCTTATTGCATGCCCACGGACGGCACATGTCCCAAGTGCTCTTCCGGAGCTCTTCCCAAGCTTTTGCTGAAGGACTGCATCGTTTCTTCCCAGGAAAAGGATATTGCAGAACCAATCTCTTTCAGGAACAGACATGTGACATGAGTGGATTTCCTGCACTTTCCATGAGCCCAGCTGGTAAATTCGCAGGAGCAGCGAGAAGCTCAGGCCAGAAATGCAGAGGCCGGAAAGGGTCTCTATGCAGTCAGCTGTGGGATGAAGCACGCCTCGTCTGCGGGCCGTTTTATTCCAGTTCTGGATTTTCCGGACACAGACGTAGAATGTTCTGACGCTTGTTGAAGCAAGGACCTACTCGCAAGATCTCGCAAGGGCTAGATGCGTTGCATTTGCGGGTTGCAACGTGAAGAAAACTCGCGGCTGTTGACTAAAAATCCTTCCTGCCGAGACAAAGGCATGGAATCCTTCTGGCCCCAACGTTGAACCCCTTCCCCCTCCAGTAGCTCAATGGTGTGCTGAAGATCCGTTCCTAACTTCCAGCGTGGCCCAAATTGTGCGCGGGTGGGCATGTCCCCTCTGCACCTTCAGACTTTTTCGATAGAGTAGATCTCGTTGCAAGGGTGCTTACTGCCGTCGCCTGTTTTGAAAGCCATCCGAGCCGCCGAGATGGCTGTGAGTCGGTCTTCCTTTGTCATTGTCTCCACGCAAAGCTTCTGGCTCAACTGGGAGTGTCCCACTACACCGGCCTAAGCGTGCTAAGTAAGCAGGCAGACGCGGATATTCCCTGTTGCTGCTATTCAGTTGCAGCAATTGCGTCGGTGCCATGCATCTGCGCAGCTAGCAAGAGCTCATCCTTCCAATCCTAGAATCCCAGGCCTACAGGCTCCAAGCACGCAGCCCTAAAACTTTAAACTTCCAAACTCTCCAGAACCCTGACGCAGGACTTCTTCAAGTACCTCCAGGGTGGAGCGGGAGATCGTGGAATACAAGCCATGGGGGAGTGGTCCCTGGGCAAGATGTGCTTAGGGTTTGTGATGTGCGTCGATGTACAGGACTTGGCAACTTTGATATGTTGGCGATTGCTTGGGTTAATGGAGGCAGTGTTAGCTTGAGCTGAAGCTACAACTTTAGCCCGCGCAGCACCAACAATGATAGCGGGAAATGGTAGCAACAATCGGCCGGAGTGGAGGAAATGAGGCGATGATAAGACGTTCGATGCAAGGATGATGATGACAGTTCAGATCATCATGATCACAGCTTGTACTGCGGAGGGCTAACATTTTTTCTGTTGGCACACGGGAGCAATGCAGCAGAATCCCCTTGAGCAGACCCCTGTCCACCTTGGAGTCCCTCACAATATGCCTTCTTTGTAGGTGGGGACCAAAGAAAGGATGGGAATTGTGGGGTCCCTGTTAAACTGCTCAGTGCACAGCTCCACGCAAGAGCTCCTTTTACTACGACGAATTGAACTAGAAAGCATGTCACGCACCAGGCTTTTTGTTCCAAGTGGCAGTAGAAATGAGCGTGAAACAGAAGGATAGGCTACTAGTACCGTAAAAAAATGTAAAAAATGTACTCATTGTCACCGTGCTTGCACGTGACGCTTCCTGTTGGATTGTGTAAACGCCAGCTCGGCATGGCCTGCGAGATGACGTGGAACCGGATCCACATTTGCTGCATCTCTGCAAACCTCGTGCGTCAGTGCAACGCAATCAGGTGCAAGTTTGGTGCATTTGATGCCAGCCTGGCTGCCATGGATGCCGAGGATGAGGCGCTTCTTCTTGTTGTTTTTTTTTGCATCAAGCTCCTGCCGGTCTATGCAATTGCGATTGTACGTTGGATTTTGTATTCATGCACGCATAACAACGGAAATTTGGGGGCTTGGCGGCATCCTTTCCGCTATAAGGCTACATAAGCTCTACCTTACCATTGCACCATGTTGCATGGTCAAGACTGCAGGAGGATTGATCTTGGCAGTTTTCTGCACCCGTGAAGCGTGCGGTCTTGTGAGTCGCCCAGACAAGCCTCGAGATGTGTTGAGGATCAGGCGCATACAACTGGTTGCGGTGCCTGTTGTCGGCAGACGCGCGAAGCTTCACAAGGAGGCAAAGCCCATCACGGGGGCCCGAAACTTGTGGCTTCCTCCTTGCTTCCCGCCGCTACTGGATCTGCTTCTCAGCACCACTTCATTAAACATTATGTCTAGTATCTCCCATCTGAACGGGAACAGAGGCAGACCCAGTCTTAACACGATTACATGAATGTTTACTCGGTTTACTCCTTGGTCTAAGCTGGTCGTGTCAAACTTATTGCATCATGAGCAGGAAGCTCTCAAGTACCAAACAGGCTTCCCATCATATTTCTAGTCTCAAACTACTGGCATGTTGCTATGAGTGAACATGTCCATCTAGCTTGAGAGTCTCTATTTCCCGTACTACCTCCTGTCATAGAGGTGCCTACGCTAGCAAATCTCTGCCCTCACCGCCCTCCCTCGCAGCAACGCTTCACATTAGCTTGCTGAAGATCAGGGAGATCAGCATTTGTACAAAGTCCATTTGAGGATGAGTCCAATGGCTGGCATCCTACAGAAGGAGCCCTGGATTTCGGGCATGGGATCCTCCTTGTCTAACCGCAAGCCTTTTGGACGCATCCTGCTTGGGCAAACTTTTGGTTTTATGGCGAGGCTGGGGGAAAAGTGCGCAGAGAGGTCTGGCCGGATTTTCGCGCGATATGGGCTGACTTGGGGAGCGTTGCTGATGAAGCTGCCATGCTGTCGGGGCAAGGAAGTGAAGCCATTGATCTAGAAGGCCCTTACTCAGCTTGCTTTTAGAAGCTTGCGCGCTGTGCATGGCACATGCCCCTTCAAAGTCCTAGGCTGACCGCACCGCTCATCTCTTAAATGTTGATCAGTCTCGAGACTGCTTGCGCAGATTTGGGGATTGCTTCCGATGCGTCCTTATCGCGGCAGCTTCTTGAGTCTCAACCTAAGACCCCAATGTAACGAGCACCAGGCAGGCACATCGCAGAAAGCTAGCCACGGCTTAGCTATAGGTCCATGGTTGAAGCATTTGTGATGGGTCCAATTAGCAAAGCGCATTGTTATTTTTTGATAGGAAGCCGACCCCTTGAGCAGCGTCCTTGCATGGTGCAGGATCCGTAATTGCCAATTTCAGTATTCTATTTCCACATGTGCATGCCCAGCAGCAGCACCGACAGAGGGAGGAGAAGAAGAAGCAGACGATGATGGGAACATTGGTGAAATAAACCAAGCTCATGACAGGTGGCGATCCTGAGCCTAGGCTCACCATGCCTGTTTTCCTTCTACCCGAAGACTGGCACTGAGGACCACAAAGGGAACCTTAAGGGAGGTAGCGGCGGCCTGTATCTCGGGCAGTCAAACTGCAGATCTCCCAACATGTCTGTTTGTCCCAGATCCACGAATACCAGTGCTGCGTAGCATCTTCAAGCCATTTTCATTTTTTTCCGAGCTGATTGTGCGCAAGGACTGCATGAAGTGGGATCCTGCCAACGATGTACCAGGCGGCTACCAGGCCCCAAGCAGCCCACCGCGGTTCGGACTGGACAGCAGATCAGAATTCCTTAGCTGTGAGTCAGAACTGCACCCATCATCCGATCCAGCTCAAGTTGTCGGCCACTTCGCCCCCATAGTTGTGCTCGTGGCTTGTGATCTGATAGGGTGGCCAATCCGCCATGAACACGCTCTTCGCGGAGCCAAGGAGTTTCACACCTCGGTTGACCTGAGGGCTCTGCTTTGACTTTGTGTTTTGGTATCGGCTACGTAGCTAAAACAGAGCGGCCTCAGCCCCAAAACTGGACACATGACGTGCCAGTCAAGCAAGCAAAAGATCTAGATTGACAAGCCTTAATCCTCTTCAGGGAGGCAGAAATCACACCTGCCTTCCGCTTTTGCATAAGCACGAAGCAGGAGCTTGCTGATCTTCAGTCCGGGCCTGAGAACTGTTGACAAGGGTTTTCAAAAGCGGCAGGCATGTCATGTCATTGCATGGCATCCGTGTTCAAATATTTGTGCATCGCATGATCCTTTTACAAACCCCGAATTCCTTAGCCGTGATCATGGTGACTCAAAAAACAACGTTGGGGAGCCCACATGGATGTTTCCGTTTTTGACGCGCCCCCTACCTAAGATTACTAGGGATGTGAGGATTTGGCGAAGCAAGCCCCGAAGCAAACCCCCGAAGCAAACCCCGAAGCAAACCCCGAGGCAAAGCCCGAAGCAAACCCCTTCGTGAGATGGTTTTGTAGGACCAACTTCCCTATCAAATCCTGTTCCTTTAGTT